CAAATAGGTCCTTTCCTGCAGGATTGTGAGTAAAGGAGAGTATTTGTCACAAGATGGGGAACCTTACCCACTATTTGAGCAGTTTCTTTAGACCTGCTGTCCAACCACTATGGCTCTGCTATGACATCTTAGGCTGCTATGAGGAATCTGGCTTTCTTTTTCTTAACCTCACTCACACTTTCTTAGTTCTTACCTCTCCATGCCATTTTAGCTCTTATCTGGCAGAAGCATCTTTAGCCATTCCCAGAATTTTGAGTCTCTGGAGCGTAATTTAATTCAATTCAACAGTGCCTGTTGAGCAGGCTCTGTGCTGTGGGCCCAAGGAAGCATGTGGAGCCTAGTGTCTGGGCATTGTGGGAACACACCTGGAGGTCAGAGGTCAGACTTCCCAGGAACTGTTTCCCCAGGAATCCAAATAGGAAAGGAGGATAATTCCAACACTGCCTTGAAAGTCAGGCAGTCTGGGTTTTTCTAATCCTACCTCAGCCAGCTGTCTCACTTTGGTCAAATCTTTATTTTCTTCTCTGGACCTCATTTTCTATATCTTAAAAATTAGGGGACCCTTTGGCTCTAACTTTAAGTCCATATGATTCTAAATCTTTGTACATTGTCTCCAGGGAGCATTCGGAAAGAGGCTGATTCTCAATAGGCACTGAAAGGATTAGTAGAGAGGGCCATTCTGCAAAACACCTGACCGCCACTCTTCAAATGTGTCAAGGTCCTGGAAGACAAGATGCCACCAAGAGACGGTCATAGATAGGAGGAGACAAAGGAGACATGACATCTAAATGCAATCTGTGTGATCCTGTTTGGATCTTCGAGCAGAAAAGGGGAATTTGTGGAAAAACTAGGTAAAGTCTGTAAGTCTATAGATTAGTTAACGGTATTGTATTAATGTCAATGTATTTGTTTTGATATCCTGGTTATGTAAGATAATAGCAGTAGAGGAAGCTGGGTGAAGAGTCTATGGGAACATTCGGTAATATCTTTGCAAATCTTCTTTAAGACAAAAATTATCTCCAAATAAAAATATTAGATATAAAAAAGCATGAGTGTATATTTTCCCAGAAAGTTGGATTGTAAATTTTTCAAGGCCAGGGGTCTTCATTTCTCTTTCTGTATGTTCCTTAGGGCTTGGCATAGAGATGTCTTGCAATAAGTTCTCAAATTCTTATTAGACTCAAGTTGGCCAAAAATACTTCACAACAAACTTTTAACCTGGGACAGAGCAACATGTAACCTTATCGCTGTGGTAAGAAGTTAATATTGCAATTGCGGTATTTCTACAACAATAAAACACAAAGAAAGTCTGGAAAAATGCCATTCATTGTTTCCTGGCACCAAGGAAAAGAAATGTCTCCATGTTCAAGTCAGATAGTCAGTCTGATTTAGGAAAATAAAAAGGAAAGAAGGAAAAAATAAGAACACAAAAGATCAAGTGGCTCCTTTTAAAAAACCATCATCGTTGCTATTTGGACTGAGCCAGAAGCTCCAGATAACAGTAACCACTAAAGAAGAAAAGGAACAAAAAAACCTTGGAGCTTTCAATTTGTTTTTCATAATAAATGATTTGCCCCCACCAAAATGTAGCCTTGAGGAGTTAATTAAACAGCTGCCCCCATGGCTGATTCTGAGATGTTAGGAGGCCCAGTGACAGTCTTGGAAACAAATGGGGCAATACAGGTGTGGGTTGTTTGGCTTGATTGAAGAGCTTGAGTTTTTCACCCCTTAGTCTCTAAACCATCTGGAAGTGAGTTTGTGGAATGTGGGATGGCAGCCTCTCTGCCCTTATCTGCTGATAAGATTCTCGGCCTCAAACACGTGTACCAGAAAAGCAGGGAGCAAATATTTTAGGCCTTAAACAACTTGCAAATCCTCCCTCTAAAGTTCATGCTGTGCTACAGCACAGAAGGAAGTACACTCATCTCACACTGGTTTCCCGTAGAACCTAGGGCTTCTGACGTCAAACCTGAAAAGTTGACCTAAAGAAAAACTATGTTTTGGTTTTGATTCATGAGTTTTACCCACCTTTTCCGAGTCTCTGCAAACTTTCAGGTATAAAAGTCAGGTTTCTGAGAGTTGCCCTAGGATGAGACTGCCATGCAAAACAGGTTTAACTGAGCGAAGAATTTGAGGATAAGGACCAAAATCTTTCTATGTTTACAACTTCTGGTCAAGCGGAGTCCTAAAAATGCAAGTATCTGAGGATGGCCCGCAGGCTACAACGTCACTGACAGAGGGTTTAGGTGTCTGACAACAGAATGGCTTAGCTTCTTGGAATGAAAGAAATATGGAGATTGTTCCTTTTGCTTTTAAAGTCTAAAAATGAGGAAGTATATGTGGCGTGTATAAGTGTTGTGATGGGCGTGTGTCTGGTGGGTTTGAGATTTGAGGTTATGTGTGGGTGTAAGTATAAAATTAAATCCAGACTAAACATAGTAAGGAAAAAACGTGATTAGATGAGGCTGGTAATATCTTGAGTGATACGTACACCCCGTCCTCCCCCCCCCCCAACCCCCGCCCCATACACAAGAACTGATGGGATTCACTAGCTTCAGAAAAGCTTTCGGAATTCGGTCATTTACACATTCACTCTGTCTCCTATTTTTGAGTTCCTATTATGTTCCAGCCACTAAGTGGACCCTACGAATATATAGTCAGGTAATACATTTAAATGTTGCTCTCAAGGAGTGTGCAATCTACTGGGATAGACAGTGGAATCCAACAATTATAGGGCAGAATGAGGAGGACGACTTTAAAAGCAAGCTCAGATTGCTCTGGGAGGCCAGAGCAGGGTGGCAGGGAACAGAGAAAATGTCTTGTGTGTCATTTGTTTTTCAAAATAGGAGATGTTTCTCTCCTTCTTGGTTCATCCCACCTCAGACTAATCTTTAAACCCAGAGAAATATTATGGCTTTAATATTTGTGCAGTTGGAAAAATACCATGGCAACTCGATCAAAATGTTTCTTCTCTCTAGTTTCAAAAATCTCAAGTTTAAGCTGTTTGAATGACTAACAAAAATATTATTAAAACAACAGAAAATCACTATTTAATTTTGTTTACTCACTCAAATGTATTTTAAACTACCGATTCTGTACCAAGTGTCACTCATCTAGAGACACAGCTACTTTGTCTTAACTCTTTGAAAAGGAGCCACTCTGGTCTTAACTTCTTATAAAACTTAATTCATTTCATAGTGGAAAAACTATCCTATTTCCGTCTCTTGACAAAAAGTAAAGTGATAATTTTATCTATGCAGTCTCACTAGAGTCAGAGGAATTGTCTAAAGCATTATAACAAATTGCAGAGTAACACAAAGATAATGAGAGTCTGTTGGGCAGAATAATCTCAATCATCTTCACTCTGGTCAAACCAAACAAGTGGGTTTCTTCATGCATAGCTGTGATATTAATATAAGGTTCTTGTGAAACTAACACTAGGCAAGTAAATATGCAAACATTTCAGCCACGAAAGATCAACTGTGACAAGCTTATGTTGAAATCGATGGTTCCCTTGGAAATATTACAGCTTTTTAAGTGCCCCATGTCTGTACTCACACACAAAACTCAACTAACTCTGCCCTCTGAGTTTACAACTTTTTTATATTACATTCTTAAAATACCCAAAAAAGTCTCCAAATAGATATTGTAAGTTCCCTCTACAGCTCTTCAAATATGAACTCTGTTGATTTTACCAATTGTGCTCCTGGGTTTAGTTTCTCTGCCTAAGTGAGGAAAAGACTTCTGCTTCCAGAGGTCAAGCATTATCTTGATTTAGCAGGTTGGGCCCCTGAATCACTGCTATGCTCAGTAGCAAAGAATGTAGGCTGGGAAGGATTAATTACCAAAGCCAGTAATCCTGACTCCGACCTCCAAAAATATGGGGAAGTCCAAAAAAAAAATCTTGCAAGTGATTTGCAACATTCTGTTCAAATCAGTCTCATGAGTAATGTCACTTTGACACCTCTTACCCATGTAAACATAATTATCACAGACACATCAGCTATTCCTTCTGAACTTTCTCCTTTTCACCCTAAGGCTCAATTTTCCCTCCTCTGAAAGAAGATCAACATAGTTTTACTAATAGCTTCTTCCTCACTCTTTCTAGTGAAACAAATATCCTCAAAGTGTTAGAATGTCAGTAGCCTGTTTTATGACAAGTCGTGTGTACTCCTACAGGCCTAGGCAAAAAATTATGTACTTTGGTCTCAAGCCCAGGGGACATAGATTCTCTTGGCAAAATCTAGCAAGCCAGACCAAACCCTGCAATTCCTGTCATTTCATATCAGTGAAATCTCAGTTGATTAAGAGGTAACTAGAGAGGAAATTCCCCAATGACCATTAAAACTCCTAAACAGGTACCACTTTCTTTAATTTACTTTGATCTGGGCTCAGTCAGCATGAATTTTGCCACAAGAGCACATGTTTGCTGTATCACAGGAGTAATTCTATGAATGAAAATATTTATAGCTGAAGTTACTCACGCACTGAACTTTAATAAAAGGCACCACAGAGTTATATATATAATACCCACATTTTATATACATACACCTACAAGGTCATTCCACCTGCTAGATTGTGATGATGACTAAGCGAGGATCCTAGGTTCTAAATGCTAAAAGTATCTTTAATACACCCCCCCACCAATAAAAGTTCCATAAAATTATTTGAAAAATTAATAAGAAATGAAGAAAGATAGCATCTCACAATAAATGGTACAAAGAGTTTCATTTAAAATTTGGAACTTAACATCATATGCTAGTGTCTCAGCATAAATACAATTAAAACCCAAATCATTAAGATGAAAATGTGTTAAAACAGCTGATATAGCAAGAAATGTAATTGTCAAGGGATGCTAAAGTCCCAAAGCTTATTACACACATGTACCCAATATGTGTCACATAGGGGAATTCTTTTCCTTCATAACAAACCACCAGGGATTTTTAAAATAATATTGTAGCAAAGAAAAGGATTAGTGAACTGCAGATTTGGAAACTTACATCTGCATCCACCGTGTCCAGTTCAAGGTTTGGAAGGAGGCGCATCCTGAGACTTGATGGAAGGGGAGGCAATTCTGACAGGTACATACTTGCACCGCTGTCCTTTAAAGGTATCTGGAAATAACATTGGATGATTGTTATCACAAGTTCATGTTTTTTCTCCTTTGAGCCAGCATTATACATAACTACGATTATATTTTCATCTGTCATTCTTTGGACAAGGTAAAGTGGGAAGGTAGATTTGTTCTGTAACCCCAAGGGAATCACAGAATCAGAGTGGAGGGAATGGTGGGAGGAGTGTCAGCTCACCCCACTCCTAAGTGTTATACTCGAAGCTCCATGTTCCCTAAACATGGGAGGAGGGCGCTATGTTACAGGATCATCTGGAGCTGGAACTCTCCCGTGAACTCCTGTTCTCTAACACCTCATTTCTCTCCAAGAGAGTCCCACTGCTCTTAGGATTGTGTTCAAATTCTTAACTAGTTGTTCAAGGCCTTTAGCTCTAGCTAAACACTGCATCCTCCTCCCTCACGACTTCTACAATAATGCTATCCTCTCACTTTCCACAAAACGTGAATTCATGTGCAAGCTTAGTCAGGGCTTATTGCATATTTATCATGGGCCAGCACTTGATCCAGGCCTTGGGGATATAGCAAGTCCTTTCTCTTAAGGAGCTTATGGGGGGAAGGGCATAGTGAGAGACAAGAAACACATAATCCAATAAGTAAAGGAATGATATTTATGTGGCAATAAGGGTTAGGGAGATAAAGAGGGAATTTCCATGTGGAGGCAGAGGAGAACTCTCTAACTAGAATGTCAAATAGGCCTTATTGTGGAAGTGCCTTCTAAGCAAAACCTTCATCCAAAAGGAAGGAATAACAAATACGAAGGCCCTGAGTAAGAGTAAAGTTGGCTCATTGTGGGCACAGAAAGAAGCCTGATTTGGCTGAAGCAAAGTGAGGAAAAAGGTTAAGATGTTTGAAACACAATAGCAGTAGGTAGAATTCTAAGACGGCCCCCAAGATTTCTCACAGAAAACAACTCTTTTGCCTTCATTCTGTCATATTCCTTTCTTGTCCATGATCTATGAGATAGCCAGAAGAAAGGTTATCTGGAATTTTTTTTGCACATCTAAATATATTTAGTTCCTTTCTAATCGTTTTATTTATTGTTGCTTTCTTTTGTTTATTTTTATTTGCCTGTTGAAAAAATTTACACAAGTTTGTGTTTCTTTTAATGAGATTTAGTTCCTCTCTCCCTTTTTGTATTTACTAAATAGGCAATAATTCACAGGCTGAGTCTGAGAATGGGTTAATCCCTTAGCAGTCTGGGTAGAGCTGAGTTTCTGCCCTTGGTTCAAATGCTAAGTGAACCTGCATAACCAGCTTCAGGTGCAGTTTAATCTCTAGGCCACTGTTTATTTGTCAAAGGCCTTGCTGTGCACTCCTGTAGGTCAAAAGGCACAGAAATGAGAGATGGCGGAGAGGTCATACCCTGGGGAACTGTGGAAACAGCCAAAACTCCAGTAGGCTTGGCCATTAGCTTCCTGTGTGGCCTGGTCCAGCCCCCACCGCTCCTGAGCTTCATCTTCTACTTCTGTACATGAAGGCCATGGCCCAGAGAATCCCTAAGATCTCTGCCTCCCTCTCACCGTCCTGATATTTTCCTTAAGAGACTGTGAGCACTGAGGAGAGAGGGGAGGTCAGTCCAACTTGTAGGAGCAATTACTCGTGGCTTGCTATCACTCTGCATTTTCTGAAGATCAATCCCTAATGTTTATTGAATATTTATTAGGTGGGGCTCTTTGTTAATTACCTTAATACGTTATCACATTTAATCTTCACACAATCATGTGGAATATTTACTATTATTCTGTTAAGATTTAGATGATAAAATTTAGACTAAGAGAGTTTAAGGAATTTTGTCAAATCTCAGATAAGAAAGCAGCAAAGCTAGATTACCTCAGTTTTCATACATACCATATTTTAGTGTTTTAATTCTATTCTAGCTACTATGGGATAAAGTATGAATTAAAATGTAATATTCAAGTACACAGGGATCTTAAAATAATATAAATAGCATATATAAAGAGCCAACCATGGACCGAACACTACACTAGATGCTTTACATAATTTTCACTGCAAATAATATATTCCTATCTCCATTTTTTATTAAAGAAACTAGGACTCAGAGAGTTTAAGTAATTTGCCTTAAGTCCCACCTCCAAACGGTGATGAGGCAGAGCTGCTGGTCTGACTGCAAAGCTCATTCTATTTTGGTGCATCTTGTTGCTCCTGTGGGAAAGAGAAGACAGTTTTATATGATTATCCAGGGGAGGCAAAGACACGTGTTATACAGGGAAGCAAACACAAATGGTAGGCAGAGCATGAAGGACACAGGGCCTAGGAAAGAGCAAAGTGAGGGTTTATTATACAGAATAAACCAAAGGCATTAGAGGTATCAGCAGGAGGAGGTGAAAGTGTGTGGGGTGTAGCTATCAGCTGGTACTAACATCAGGCTCAGAGTATAACTCTCTCCCACTGCCATACCCAAAGCAATGGGCTTCCCCTCTCTTTCCATACATTCAGTGCAAGAGACCAGGTTCTGAAAAGGGAAATGAAACAATGAAAAGTGAGCTCTCTTGATGGCAATCTTTCATGCACTTGACCCAGCTCAACCAGAAATACATGTCCTGCCATGAAATTCCAGATGACCTCAAATCTACACCTAAGAAAGCATTAGTCTTTGTCCAGTGTAAACTTGACAACTCCATATAGAATAAAAGATACAAATTCACGAGTTTCTGTCCCTAGGAGTATGCTCTAGGTCTGTACTACATGGCTACTATGCTAGAAGAATTTACCAGAATTCTTTAAAAGAAGTAATTCTTAACCTATAACTTAGAAGCTAGTTCTTTATTGGAGGGTCTGGAAAGGAGTTTACTTACACGAATGAGATCAAGGCAGTTGATGTAAATGAGAAGGCAGAAGTATTAGCAAGATTTATGCCAAACTATTTTTATGACCAATATAAATCAAGAATATGTGTTTTTATCATTTAATTGGGATGCTGTCACATATTCTGGTCAAACACTGTACTCAAGGGGCATTATATTTAATTAGAAGAATAATAAGTAGGTGATTTTTGCCATATAAAAACAGCAACTACTAGAGCATCATGGAAGAGTGAGCTCCTCTCCTAGAGCCTCCTCCCTAAGATACAATGAAAAGGACATTCATAAACAAACAGAGGACATTCACACAACACAAAAGACATCTGAGAGACCCATCAAGGCATACATCTGAAGGTGGAGGTGCTGGAGGCCCTGGGAGGAAGTGGAAGGAGGTAAGCGGCTCTCCTCTCCTCCAACAATGGCAGTGACCCAGGGTGCAGGACAGCATGTGGCTCTTAGAAAAGAGGCAGGAGTGGTTGCTTTCTGTGGGAATACCTTTGCTCTCCAAATTCCCTCACAGCCCGTGGAAGAGCCCCACACAGAGCTGGCTAAGCTATTGCGAAAGTGTCACCACCAAGCCCACACTCCAGGAGAGCAGATAGTGAGGGCAGAGTGAGAACACCTCTTGGGCAGTGGATAAAAGAAAGTGCCCCTCCCCAGGCCTCGTGCTCCAGCTCAGCCAGTTGCTCAGAGTGCCCACACATAGGTTAGAAAAGCAGCAGCTGTAAGCAAGTGAGCTGGAAATCGCATAGATTTTAAGGACAGGCACAGATGCCAGCAGTCATGGTGGGCTCAGAATACACAGCTCCTGACAACTCCAGTGGCAGCAGGTGGAATCTGCAAACAAATACTATCACTATGTGAAGGCACAAATCCACGTCATCAAACAGTATGAAAAAATATATTAGTACTCCAGACCATAAGAAAAATGACAAGCACCCAGAAATCAGTGCTGAAGGCACAGAAGTTTACAATCTAAATGACAGAGAATTCAAAAACTCAACAAGTTACAACAAAATACAGATAGTTCAATGAAATCAGGGAAAAAAAAACTAATGAAGAGAGGGAATTCTTCACAAAAGAGATAAAAGAAAAACCAATCAGAAATGTTGGAGATGAAAAACACAATGGATGAGATAAAGAAAAATCTGGACTCCCTGAATAACAGAGTTGATATTAGGGAGGACAGAATTAGCAGTTTGGAGGACAGAAGTAAAACACTGCTTCAAATGGAGGAGGAGAGAAAACTAAGCCTAAAAAGAAGTGAAGAAACTCTCTGAGAAATATCCTAATGAATGAGGAAATGCAACATAAGGATTATAGGTATTCAAGAGGGAGAAGAGCGGGAGAGGAACAGAAAGCCTGTTCAAAGAAATAATAGCTGAGAACTTACCAAACCTGGGGAAGGGGCTGGAAATACAAGTAAAAGAAGCTAATAGGATTCCTAACTATATTAGTATAAAAAGACCTTCTCCAAGGTATATCGTAGTAAAACTTGCAAAAGTCAATGACAAAGAAAAAATAGTAAGGGCAACAAGGCAGAAAAAAATAACTTACAAAAGAACCTCCATTAGGCTTTCAGTGGATTTCTCAGAAGAAACCTTACAGGCTAGGAGAGAGTGGAATGATAAATTCAAAATTCTGAAAGACAAAAACTTTCAGTGAAGAATACTCTATCCAAAGAAAATATTCTCCAGATATGATGGAGAAATAAAAATTTTCCTAGATAAACAAAAGCTGAGGGAGTTCATTGTCACAAGATCTTCCCCCCACAAGAAATGATCAAGAAGGCCCTTATACCTGAAAAAAAAAAGAAAGCATTTACAAAGCCTTGAACAGGAGACAAATAGGCAGACAAAATCAGAAAATTGCAGCTTACTATCAGAACAGGTTAGCAAACACTTAATTATAACAATAAAGATTGAGAGAATGAAAACTTCAAAAATAAATATAATCTTGTCATTTTAAACACAAACTCACAACACAAGATGGAATAAGTTGTGACAGTAACAACTTAGAAGGGGAAGAGGAAAAGGATGGAATTGGCTTAGACTAAGGAAATAAGAGGCTATCAGAAAATGGACTCTATCATCTATGAGATTTTTATACAAACCTCATGGTAACCACTAACCAAATAATCAGAACAGAGACACAAATGATAAATAAAGAGAAAACTGAGAAAATCATCAAAGAGAATGACCAAACTGAATTGGAAGCTCTAAATACATGGGATGAGAAACAAGGGAAATACAGAACAAATGAGAAATAAGAGATAGAATGGCAGCATTAAGCCCACATATGTCAATAATAATTCTAAATTTAAATGGATTGAATTCTCCAATCAAAAGACACGGAGTAGCTGGATGGATTAAAAAACAAGACCCAACAATATTCTGTCACCAAGAAACACATCTCAGCTCTAAAGACAAACACAGGCTCAGAAGGAAGGGATGGGAGATGATACTCCAAGCTAAGAAGAAATGAAAGAAAGCAAATGTTGCCATACTTATATCAGACAAAGTAGATTTCGAGGTAAAGCAGGCAATGATAGACAAAGAGGGGCAGTATATAATGATAAAAGGGACACTCCACCAAGAAGACATAACATTTATAAATATATTTGCACCCAACACAGGAGCACCAAAGTATATAAAGCAACTATTAACAAACTTAAAAGGAGATATTAACAACAATACAATAATAGTAAGAGACCTTAACACCCCACTTACCTCAATGGATAGATTATCCAGACAGTGAGTCAACAAGGAAATAGTGGATTTAAATGAAAAGGTAGACCAGGTGGATTTAAAATAGAGATATATAGAACACTCCATCCAAAAACAACAGAATACACAATCTTCTCAAGTGCACATAGAATGTTCTCAAGCATAGACCATATTTTGGGAAACAAGGCAAGCATCAATAAATTTAAGAAGATTGAAATCATATCAAGTATCCTTTCCAACCATAATGCTATGAAACTAGAAATCAACTACAAGACAAATGCTGGAAAAGTGACAAATATGTGGAGACTAAACAACATGCTACTGAACAACCAATGGATCACTGAAGAAATTAAAGGAGAAATTAAAAAATATCTGGAGGCAAATGAAAGCGAAAATACACAATACCAACTCATATGGGATGCAGCAAAAGCAGTCCTAAGAGGGAAATTCATAGCAATACATGCCCATCTTAATAAACAAGAAATAATTCAAATAAATAATCTTAAATTACACTTAAAAGAATTAGAAAAATAAGACTAAACAAATCCCAAAGTCAGGAAAAGGAGGGAAATAATAAAAATTAGAGTAGACATAAATGAAATTGAAACCAAAAAATAGTAGAAAGGATCAATGGAAACCAAAAGCTGGTTCTTCAAGAACATAAACAAAATTGGCAAACTCTTAGCCAAACTCATTAAGAAAAAAGAGAGAAGCCTCAAATAAATAAAATTAGAAAGGAAAGAGGAGAAATTACAATGGATAACACAGATATACAAAGGATTATAAGAGAATACCATGAAAAACTACATGCCAAGAAATTGGACAATCTATAAGAAATCGATAAACTCTTAGACTCATACAATCTCCCAAAATTGAATCAGAAAGAAATGGAGAATATGAATAAACCAAACATAAGTAAATTGATTGAAATAGTAATCAAAAACCTCCCAAAACATAGAAGTCCAGGACCAGATGGCTCTCTGGAGAATTCTACCAAACATCAATGAAGGTTTAACACCTATCCTTCTCAAACTATCTCAGTATGTTGAAGAAGATGGAATACTTCCTAACACATTTCATGAGGCCAACATCACCCTGATCTCAAAGCCAGACAAGGACAACACAAAGAAGGAAAATTATGGACCAATATTACCAATAAACATAGATGCAAAAATCCTCAACAAAATATTGGCAAACGAAATACAGTAACACATTAAAAAGATCATACATCATGATCAAGTGGGATTTATACTAGAGATGCAGGGATGGTTTGACATCCACAAGTCAATTAATGTGATACACCACATTAACAAAATGAGGAATAAAAATGACAGGATCATCTCAATAGACACAGAGAAAGCATTTGACAAGATCAAACAGCCATCTATGATAAAAACTCTCAATGAAATTGATATAGAAGGAAAGTACCTCAACAGAATAAAGGCCACATATGACAAACCCACAGCCATCATACTCATTGGGGAAAAACTGAAGGCCATCCCTCTCAAAAGAGGAACAAGACAAGGGTGCCCACTCTCACCACTCTTATTCAACACAGTACTGGAGGTTTTGGAAAGAGTAATTAGGTGTGCAAAAGAAATGAAAGGAATACAAATAAGCAATGAAGAAGTGAAACTCTTGCTGTTTGCAGATGACATGGTTTTATATATAGAAAACCCTAAAGAATCCATTGGAAAACTATTAGAAATAATCAACAACTACAGCAAAGTTGCAGTGTACAAAATCAACTTACAAAAATCAGTTGTGGGGGGGCCAGCCCTGTGGCCGAATGGTTAAGTTCGCATGCTCAGCTGTGGCAGTCCAGGGTTTCGCTGGTTCGAATCCTGGGTATGGACATGGCACCACTCATCAAGCCATGCTGAGGCGGCGTCCCACATGTCACAACTAGAAGGACCCACAACTAAAAACATACAACTATATACTGGGGGCCTTTGGGGAGAAAAAGGAAAAATAAAATCTTTAAAAAAAAAAAAATCAGTTGCGGGGACCAGCCCCCTGGCTGA